GATATTTGAATGACACTAGCCATCCAAATTAAGGATTCTCAAACTTTTCTAAAGAATAATTGTAAAGTTTACTAGTATCAAACACCCTTTTCTTAATACCTTTTCATTAATTTGGTTATATTTGTAGTAATTTTCAATTTTTTCTCATTCTAGCCTTTGTTATATGAATACTAGTGAATACTGACAATACTAATACCAAAAATAATTTATTAAACTTGTACTTGTTTGACTGAAATATACATTTATTCTCATTTAATAGATTGAGGCTTAAAGATCAAAACAGAGGCAAATCATGTTTCGGCTTCAGTGGTTTTGTTGCTATTATTAAAACATTAAAAGTAATAAACCTTTTCTATTTCTTTACAGTAAAATCTAAAGGCACTTTCAAGAGTCCAAACATATTCAAGTAAAAGCACTTATGATGTGAGATTTTGTTTCATGAAACAAACTTTGGTCCCTGCTATTCTTCAAGATAATACAACTGGTTCAAGAGGTATTGTTCCTTGTCCTATATTAATTGAAATATTTTAAGGAAAAATATTCCAGAATACAAATAATTAAATATATAGGAATTGGGGAGAAAAAAAAAATCGGCACTGGAAGGGATTCTGGAAGCTGCCTTTCTCCCACGAGCTGTTCAGAGGATCCAGTAGTGGGAGGTGCTTCAGTCTCTGCATGTCTAGGCTGGGCTTAATTTGTGGAACGCTCCTCCTCCTCCACGGTACTCCTCCCCAGCGTTCCCCAGTTTTGGCTCAGCCTCGTGAGAGATAGGCAGTGCTTGTGATTCTTCCTTGGCTGAAACAGGGGAAATTTCTTTTGTTGCCAGCAGGTTTGACAGTTAATCAGCTTGTCTTTAGCCTTCTATTCCATTCCGATTTCTCAAGTTGGCTCACATTGTAGAGATCGCAGCCAGACAAGTCCGACTTAGGGAAGTGCCAATTCGCACCCCAAAGCGGCGGGAGGTCTTCGGCACTGCTCCGTGCCCCCTCCCCACAGCCGATATTTCTACCCCTGCCATTTCGACCGATTGCCGCGTTTTCTTTTAATCAATCAGCGGCGTGACTTTTTGTTCCAAACTGAGTCGTATCGCTCTCCCCCCCTCTGAACGCCATTTGGAGTGGAGGATTCAAACACTTGGTACCTTCCACCCTTCCCTGCTGCTTAGCTTCATAGAAAAAGCCATTGGAGGCTATTCATTTACGAGGCAGGAGTTTGTTGCTGAGGAGCGCGCCAAAAGATTAATGGCCGGAGGCCATCTTTTCTTTCAAGACCTCATGGCCGCGCGCCCGTATTCATTCTCGTGCTGTGTGAGGCAGCTCTGCTCGGAGCAGAGGTTCCCTTCAGATATTCTGGGAACCATTATAACCTTGTCTTGGTTTGTTCTTCATTTGAGGCTATTCTTACATTTAAATTGTTGGCTTAACCCTCACAGCCCAATCAACCCAGCGGCACAACAGCGAGCACCCAGGCCTGTGTCCACCTGTGCAGGGAAGCTGTTGAAGGCCTCTACCCTTATCAATCTGGGCCTTTAGGTGTTCGCAATTTGGCTGTTTGGCTTTGCTCTGCACGTAACGTCATGCCACTTAATTAACATTCTTATACTTATTATCATAGCATATATTATTATTATTATTAATAATAATAATAATTTTCTCTTCAGTATATTTTAATTTCAATAAAATATTATTACTGAGATACGACTCATTTTAGATAAGTATTATTCAAAAAAACCAAACAAACAAGAGAAAAGGGGGCAATAAAACCATCATCAGGGCAACCGGTCTGAAAGAAATGTTGTATGGCTACTTGGAGAGAATAATTAAAAAGATTTGTTAAGCTTGGTAACAAGACAGCACCTAAATAAACACAGTATTAAGTCTCACCAGCCAAACTATCAGCAACTATCTAGACCGGAATGTAGGAGACCATAAATCAGATACAGTACACCTTGTGCCTCATGAAGCTAAGGGAGGACAAAAGAGATCAAAGGCACTATAACTACAAATAAGTACAATTAGATATCAGATTCATGCAAGATCAGCAATACAATAAATAATCAAATAAATATTGCTATCAGCCTATAGCTATGGCCTTTTTATCTAGACTTTCAACTATATTCTGCTATTCACTTCTGAACTTTTATTACATGGGAAGAACTATATTGAATAAAAGTTTATCTTTTATTCCATCTGAGAAGATAGATGAGATTTTTCTCAATTTTTTTTTCACAGTACATGGCTTAGGTAGAAGAATAATGGCTATTATAACATGCAGAGTGAGACAAGAGTGATGTTTGTAGGTTTACATCAATCTTAAATCTATTTGGTACAATCAATGTTACAAGTTCTCATGTCTACACAAAAATCCTGATGGTTCAGTCATTAAATATGATTTAAGAAAGTAAATTCACCTGTAGCTTGTTAAACAGAATGAACATAAATAATTTATACAATTTTTCTTGTATATAATGCCTTAAGCAGAAAGCAAACCCAATGAAATGTCCACAAACTAAGTTTTAAAATAAACTGCAATAAAATCTTTTTCAAATTTTAAATACTTTGACTAATTTGTGAAAGTCCTTATTAATACAGTAGTATTCAAAAGAGGAAGTTTAATATAAAGTTTAATGGAAGATAACTGAAAGCACTTATTCTTACAACTTTAAGTTTCCCTTCATACTCTGGGTTTTTACAGCTGTCTTTACTATGTAGGCATTCTTGAAAATTTACTATGCAACATGAAAAATATAAGGAAGCTGCACTTAAAGGGGTTTCAAATAGATTTTTTTCACTCAAAATTCCTCATCACCAATTTCTATCTTTCAGCTGGTTCTACCAGTGAACATTTAATTTTGCAAAAGGAAAGTGCTCTTTAAGTGCAACTATAACCCCTGTGAAGGCTGCAGAAAAATTTCTGGTATTTTAAATAAACCTGAAATATGTATTTTTATCAAATAATCCAATTTTGGTACAGTGATTAAGACACTGGACTAGAAATTGGGACATTATGGATCCTTGTCTTCCCTTGGGCATGAAAGCTGGCTGTGCACAAGTCCTTGTCATTTTTTTTTTCTTACTCCAACTCATCTCACAGGTTGTTTGTTGTGTTGAGGAAAATAGATGGGGGAAGAAACATTACGTACACTGACTAGATTTGTAGAATACAAGGGCCATATATAAATCTATTAAATAATTCTACTTTTAATGCTACTTTTTGACAAATGAACATTTTATTACAGTATATTCAGCAATGAATAAGAGGGGAGGGAAATTAAAGTATCTGGTTGCTAAAGCTTATTACAGACATGTTATTTTTAACCAATGTAATTAGTTATAACATAACTGTTCATGGCCCAGAGCCTCTGTGTCGAGAGGGATGGCCATATGAATCTAAACAAACCAACCAAGTATAAATTTGTTTTCATGGTTCAGGCATAAATTTGATAGCAGTTTCTCATGCATATCCCAATTTAAAATAAATAGGAACCACTAAAAGGACAGTTGTGCTTTCACTCTAATATTTTAGGGCTTCTTCTTGCTAGTAAATTCAATGGATCTTTCATAGAAAACTTTTTGATCATGGGGTTCCTTATTTTGCTCTTTTACATATCAGGACATTTGTAGGCAGGTTCTGACAAATATTTTTTTAAAAGCTCATAAGCTTGGGACAATACTCTTTCTCTCCTTCCTCTCTCTTTCTATCTGATAATAAAGATTTCCATTGATTTTTGTCAATTGAGACCAAAATTTATAGCAATACACTCCTTGCCCATTTAAATCCTATTGGCTTACTGACTATAATTACATGCTTGGCTGTTTAGAATGAAAATGATAAATCTCTCCAAACTGTTGCCCAGACCTCATTCTCAATCTGTAAAAAAGCACACAAACCAAAAAACCCCGAAAGGTACCAAGGTGGGAGTCCTCCAGGTAAACTGAAAGCTCTGAGAACTTGGGGACACCTCTCTTTAGCAGAGAGGGGCTCAGAAGAAAAATAACTCACTGTCTATATGAAGCCTCTTCTCTAATCTTTATGTTTAACTTTGGCAGTTGGCAGTCTAGTTCCAAACCAGCCATCTCCCAAGGCTGTGATTGAAGGATACAAGATAAGAGTTTAAATCTCTCTTCCCCACCTTAACCAAATTATCCTTGGACAATTAGAGAAAGGGAAAAGTGGCAACCAAAAGCCTTCCCTCCCTCCCTCTCTGTCCTTCCTTCCTTCCTTCCTTTCACTTTCTTGTTGTGTGCTAATAACATTTACTGCTACAACTGTATTGTTTATAAAATGGACCATGCACGAAATCTAGGCTGCAAACGCAAGGTGCGTCAACATCCCCAGAAGCCCTGATTGCTTCGGCATGGTGCTGGGAGCAAACCGGCTCTTCCTTCGCGCCTTTCCCCCTCTCCTTTTCTCTCTTTTTCAGTCTCTCTCTCTCTCTCCCCCTCCCCCCCGCTCCTCCTACAGATCAGACGCAGCATTTGCAATCATTCTTAGGCCGGCTTCCATGTCAAAGTGATGGTGAGGGGCGTGTTATTTCTCGTTTTCTTTTCGTGTTTAACCACAAATGTTCTTTTTAAAACCAGACCCGTTCCATTCAGCATCTTGCAAAGAAATAGAAAGCTTGGCGGCCCAGGAACCGGACCTGGAAAAGCAGCAGCAGCAGCGGCAGCGGCGGCGGCGGGGAAGGGACGGGGTGGGGTGGGGAATGAGTGGCGGTTGTTAACAAGGATGAGAGAGAGCAAGTCGCCACCACACAGCAGCGACCCAAAGGCTGAGCTGCTGAGATTTCTCTGCAGGAAAGAGAATGAAAGAGACCTCTGAGGGGAAAAGATAGGGGGGGGGGCGCCCCCCCCCCCCCCCGTATGCCGACTGATGAGGCTGTAGTCTCCCCGACCAAGAAACCTCTCCGCTCTCTGAGGAGACGAGGCACCACAGGCAGGTCGCCTTTTTTCTCTTCACAAAGCCAAGACGCCCCCAACCCGAGAGCCAATGCCGGGTACCTGCCCTCGCCGCCGTCCGCTCCGACTCCACCGCCGCTGCCGCGTTACCCAACCGGGAATGACACGAGCTACCGGCGCTGGCCGCGAGTCCCCTTCGCGAAAAACCCGCCTTCTCGTGCCTTAGTGGTCCTGTCGCTTGCCAGTCGGGAGCCACGGCACCTAGAGCGCTTTTTCATTGGCCACGTCTCTCTTCCCGTATGTAAATAACGCCTCCTCCTTTCCAATCGACAATTAGCCGCCCGAGGGGAGTCCGAAGTCTCGAGTTCCCAGCTCTTCCCCACCGTCGCCCCCCCCCCCCCCCCCGCGCGCCATACCCTCCTTTAAAAAACAACGGTTGATCGATTGAATCAGGCAGAGTAAAATCCCAGGCATTGCGCCTTCCCCCCAGATGAACTCCACTCCCTAGCTCAACTGGCAACAGCGCCTCTACCCTCTCCCCCCCCCCCCCCCCCCCCCTTAGGGATGCCCTGGACGGGCAGCATCTTTCATTGAGCGCTGTACAAATCCCTCAGGGGGCTGTGTTCTGATTCTGTGTTATTGCTTATTCCCCACCCACCCACCACCCCCGTTGTGTTCCTTTGTTGTTCCTCCTGAAGTCCTTTCACCTGGGCAAGGGGTGCGCAGCAGACCCTACCAATTAGAGCAATGTCGCGTAAGCGGGATTTTACGCAAACCGTATTCTGAAGTTTATTTAAAAGGCAGGTAGAGGGCAGACTGTGTGGGTACAAATTCCCGCCAAAGATCACAGGGCGACTGTTTTGGCCGGGGTGTAATTTGATCGTGTATGTACTAATAAAAGTATCCCAACTCGACCCAGGTATAACTTTCTCGGCAACCTCTCGTGATTATAAAAAAGGAGAGGTGTTTTCCAACGCTGTGTGTGGAAGGTAAGAGGAACTGGCAAAAGCTATCTTGCAAAAAAACGTGGCCCCGAATAGTTCGCTTTGGTTTGGTTTTGTTTTTTGAACAAAATAGGCTTTCTGTTTTACCGAGCCGATTACAAGTACGATTAGAAGGTGATCCAGTTCCTAAGAATTCTTAACTAAAATGCGTGGCTAGGAAGATGACCGTACTTAAATCGGCGCCTGCGGAGAAACGCTGCTCGAGTAAAATCTACTCTCCCACCACCACCACCCGGGCAAACTGCTACAGGTCCATTCAACTTGGAATACTGTATTTAATAAATCCTGCTTGAAACCTAGAGTTTAAAAATAATGCTTTCCTTTCTAGCTGTATACCTGGCTCCCGCACCCATAGATGGAGCCAGCACGTTTGGGTTTTTTCCTTACTACAAGTGGACCACTGATCGTGCATGTTTTTGTTTTTCTGAAAAAGTTCATAATGTTATGAAATCTCGACCCTTTCTCCTGGCCAAGATTCTTTCGCGGGAGATCGTTTTATTCAATCCAGCTTCACTTTCTATCCCAACCCCCTCCTCCAACATTTGTGATCAGCAACTAGAATAAAGAAGGGATCAACATCAGTGGCTGATTTCTCTGCTGGAAAAGAAGCTCTGATGGAACTAAGCGGGAGGTTATTTATTTGTCAGTAGCTCTAGAAAGTTGGGCTGAAATGTGTAAGAATGGCTGAGGACTATTATGGAAGCTGGCTTTTGCAAACCTAGGCACCTATCCATCAGCACTGAGAATTAAAGGTGAAAAATTGCCCACTCCCCAAGTAAGTGAAGGTAAGCATTTTAAGACAAGGCATAATTTCATCATGGTCTGATCACTCAGCAAACCCCCCATCCAAAAAACCCCTTCCCTGCCATCAACTCACCTCTATGTCTCCACAATAAGTTTTTAATTTCATTTCAACATTTACTCATTTCACAGGCAATAACAAGGGAAGAGGACAGAGTTAATGCTATCGAATCTTTATTTTCTTTAATTTTGTGAGTTGAAGATAACTGGCAGCATACTCTAAACCGCATCTTCTTTATGGTTTTTTTTTGGGGGGGGGGTATATGGTCAGCCTTTAAGGGGGTAAAAATTTAAGAATTATATATTCAAGATAACATATGATACAGTATATTACTTGGAAAATATGTTTTCAAATATTTAAAAAAGAATGACAGGATAATTATAGAGATGGGAAATTTCTACTTTTATTCTTAAATATAAAAGGGACATTGCCTAATTTAGTGTATGTGTGGGAGGGGGTAATGTGTGGCTCTGCTGATTATGCAAACAATGCTTAGAAGTAAAGAATTTATTTTTAAATTAGATGATGCCTTCGCCTTTCCCCAATCTGATGTTCTTAATGGTTTTGGATTACAACTAATACTGATGGGGGTTACACTCTGTGCCTCTAGTGATATATATATATATATAGGCTCACTCTTGGAAAAAAGAGAGTGAGAGAAAAATAAGAATGTTTATAACAGTCAGAAAAAGAGGAAGGCATTACTCAGAAGCCTGCCATACTCCGCAATGGCTTCATGATGTCATCTGCCACTTGCATTTTTATTATGTTTAATAATAGATCTTATAAAATAAAGGAGAACATTAATAATTAACACATATTTTCCAATGTATCAGAAGAGCCTTTTTAATTTAGTCAAGGATTTGTAATAAATGAGTCTAACTGCCTACAAGCTAACTAATGCAGACTTTTTTCAAATATTCTGCTGACTATTCTGTGATCTATTTAGTTCAACCCAGAAAAGTCATATTAAGAGAAGACTGGTTCCAATTAGTGGGTTAAGTTAGTCATAACTTAAGTCCCATTAATTTAAATGGGTATATGGTAAGTCTGTCTAAACATCAGTTCACTGTATTTTTCTCACCTCTTAGCAACCAGAGATAATGAAACTAGCTTTCAGTTTGTATGATTATAGTACTATACTAATGTTCAGGAACATGAGGGTTTCATTAGCAATGCATTTGCTAAGTTTGTAATGTTTGCTATATAGCATAAAATGTTCACATGCACAGTTTTTGCAAGAACAGTTTACAGGACAATTTAGTATTGCTGGTTTAAAAGCTTGAACTGGATATGTGGTGTAATAATGGATGATTGTTTTGTTATCACTCAGCTTGCTACTTAATATAAGTTTCAGTATGCTGAAGCCAAAAGTCAGCTTTCTAAATTCTTCACAGACATACTCAAACTATATTTATAACATATCATTTTGCTTTAACCAGTATCTATCAGATTTATTCATCTATTATTTACTTACTGTCCGATGCAGAAGGAGCTAAGAAAAAGGACAGAAATCACATTTTCCCTAAAGACGGTGTGGATGGTTTGGGATGTCATGCTTAGCTACTGGATTGAATTGAATTCCAGGCATTTCAACCAGTATCCCAAGAATTGCAGTGTTTACTTTCAAGAAGTACCTCTTAAATCTTCTGGTATATTGCTAGTTGTACTTTTTTTGTTTATTGATATGTTTATAATGGAACACCCCCCCCCCCAATGTATTGGGACTGTAACTCCCAGATTCCCAATTCTAAGAAATGCAAGATCCACTTATGTGGAATATGCCAGATTTGAGAGAAATAATTCACGTTCAGGCTAAAAAGAGGCAGGCAATGTCCATTTAAATTTGTTAGGTACCGTCTGAGTTATCAGAAAAATAGCACAGAATACTAGTTCTTTGCCTAATAATGTCTAAAAGCGAGTGACTAAAATAAAATCTGTTTAATCTGCATAATTTATGAGCATTACAAAATTCTTCCTTTTGTGTTGCACATTGTGGATTACCCTGTTTCAAAAAAAATTGGCAAGGAAGAGTCATTTCATAATATCATGTTAGAAATTATAAAGCACCGAATAGCTATTTTTTATTTATTTTATTTTTTAATCTCTTTATTATTTTTATAAAAAATTCAAGGCAGTGAACATACCTAATCCTCCAGGGTTCCTCTCAAAACAGCTCTGTAAAGTAGTTGAGCTGAAACAGTGATTGACTCAAAGTCACTTAGCCAGGCTTTTTTTTTAGTAGTTCTTCAAATTTTATTGGTCCACTTTTGCTTTCCTAGGATATTTAACCCAGTCTTATCGATCCCAGTTCCATTATAAACATATCAATAAACAAAAAAAGTACAACTAGCAATATAACAGTGTAGCTTGGAGTTCTTAGGCAAGAGTTAATCCTAAAACACATATCTTTCTGTTTTCAAGGACTGTGTCAAGATACTGGGTGGGTCATTTCTCAGTTCCTAACCTTGGATTTAATGTTCTAAGTGCCTCAGTAGTAATTTCTTCTACTTCATGGAGCATAAAACACAGTCATATTATATAATATTGACTTTAGGACAGTGAATAACATAAAACAGAATTGCATACATTTGAGTTTATAATCTAAAATACTATCACTAACAGCAGAATTGCAAGGTGCCAACATTCATTTCCTCAGAAGCAACTTAGCAGTCACAACTTTAAGTTATGTTAGTATTTTTATTAAACTACCTTACCATCATTCCTGACTCATTTTCCTGATGGGTCATTACTAGGAAAGACCTGATTCACATGTATGTTGAGTGTGTCTGTGAGGGACGGGCAGCATGTAAGACCAGTATCTTGTCACTTTCATTTTTGTAACACCAAACTGAATTTGATATTATGACCCATTCACCTTATTTGGTGAAAATACTTTGGAGTTTTTCACAGTCATGTTTTGATTTTATTGCTATAAAGAATTTGATATCATTTGTAAATTTGTCCATTTTAGTACTGACGCTTAACTCTAGCTCAGATATAAAAGCTGAAAGATATGGATATATTTTATGATGCTGATACTAAGTCAAAATATTGATTCCCGGAGAAGGGAGCACTTTCCACATCTCTTCAATATGAAAATTGTCCATTCCTGTTCTCTATTTTCTATTCTTCAACTAGCTGCTAATTTATGATTTACTCTCTTCAGTAAAGGGCTTCATCAAAGGCTTAGATGTTTCAACAGAAGAGAATATATATATATATAGCTCAGCGTTGCACTTTGGAGGTCTTGGTGCTTTCTGAGTTTCATTTTTGCTTGCAGACATTTTATTATCCAACTAGGTAACATCATCAGTGCAAATCAAAAGATGTCAGATGGATCAATGCTATTAGTATGCTACATCTTCTCCC